AATGATATGATATATAGGTTATTCTAATATATTTTTAGATATTATTTATTTTAAAAAAGAATGATTTAAATATTTTATATTTATTTCAAATTGTAGAGTTAATATATTCCCGTGCAACCCACGGATGAAATACTAGTTATCTCTATCTCTATCTATACAAAGATGAGAGCCAAATTGGAACAGTAAAATTGGCCAATTACAAACAGTCTTCCCGCCTAATTCAATAAACAGTGCTCCGGAATTGTTGAAAGGAATGAAAGCGTAAGCCTAATGCTGGTCGCTATTTTTGTTTAGGGTTTTTGTATTCATCCTTATAGATGTCTGCTGCTTCAACAGAGACCAAACCGCTGCTCTCCTCTTCGACCAGAGTCCATCGCAGGTTCTTCGAGATCTAAGATTTCATCCTTTCCGAGCTTCTGGAGTACGCTACACAGATCTGTTTACCTAGGATTTCTCTTCAACGCTCGATGTCCCCTACTTTATCTTCAATGTAAATTCTAAAACGGTGATGAGTTCTAAATTCCGGATGGATCTTGGAAGCATGGAGATGTCTGAAGAGAACATAATTCCTTTCAAGAAATCAAGAAACGCTCAAGGTAAAAGGATGGACCTTTTTCTTCTTCTTCTTTAGGGTACTGTTGAAGAATATACTATTAATGGGTGGGATTCTGATTTGGTTTTATTTATTTATTTAAGGTTTGACTCTCAAGGTGGGGGGAAAAGTTTGGAATGTAGAACACGAACAATTGGAGAGCACTAGGTGTGATTAATCAGAGTTTAAGAGCTCATTCATGCACATTTGTTGTTAATAAAAGAGGATTATCAGGGTATTTCTCCAATCCCCATATTCAATTCCAGTCCATAAACTGTGAATTCATGATTTCTTTAGATTATTTGTATTTACTGCTGATGTCTTTGAAATACAATTCCTGGTTTTAGAGCTAATAATGGGGTATGCAACAATAAAAATAACTCTATTTCAGTGCAAAGGCCCATCATAAGGTCAGTGAAGAAGAATTACTGATTTTATTCAACTAGTATTTAACCCATGCAACGCACGGGATCGAACACATGTTGTTTTTAACTCTATTAAATTTTCGGTTTTAATACATGGTTAAAAATATTGGTAAATATAATATACAATGTTAGAAGTATAATGAATTATACGATTGTAGGAGTACTATCTTCGGTGAAATCAACGATATGTGATATGGAAGAGAGATCATTGAATCTCTGTCTTTTTTGCATTTGTAATTGTGCCGAAGTTGTTTCATCATTATTCTTCGGTGTCCGTGATATACAAATTGACGATTGCACTTGGTGCGAAGCAAACACTATTTTTTTAAGAATTAAAACATAAGATGTCAATCCGCTTGGTTATATTATTTATTTCATTTGTATGATTTAATATATGCCATGCATAGTCATATATTAAATATTTAAATCATAAAGAAATATATGGATACCATTTGTCACAACTCCAGCGGATCTATTATTGACGTTGATCTATATTTTGACATTGATGACAATTTGTCAACCTCTCCAGCGGATCTATTATTGATGTTGATCTAAATTAAATGTTCTTCACTCTTCGTTGTTGAAGTTTATTTTTTCATCGTGTTCTTGCTTCTTTCGCCAAAATCCATTTCTCTTTTCTTTGGATCTGAAAACGCAATACATAAGATTATTTTTGGGTAATTTTACATGTTCAAAAGTCTTGCTGCTAATTGATATTATGAAATCCAACTCTTTTCTTTAATGAAAAGAAACCAAAAAATCAGTATTAGTGCCTCCCACACCCATTATTTTTTTTAAATAAATTGAAAGAAAAGAAGTTAAAATAATATAAATTTTATAAAATTATACTACCTCCGTCCCAAAAAGATTTACATGTTATGACTAAAGTTGAAATTAAGGAAAAGATAATTTTATGTTGACTTTCCAAAAATACCCTTGATGTGATGGGTAAAAGTAGGATGTAATGTGTAGATTATTAGGAAAAAGGTATGATGTGATAGATAGAGTTTGAAAAGTAAGGGGTAAAAGTGGTTTTTTAATAGAAATGGGTAGGAAATTGTGGGACACAATTTTTTTGGAAGATGTAAATCTTTTTGGGACGGAGGGAGTATTTTGAAGCATATAATAGATCAAAGTATTCTATATGAGGATAAAAATATTGCATTTAGTATAAATTATTCAAACATGAAATCTTCTTTAAAAAACTAAATGCATAAAAAATCCAATATTTTTAAAATTAAACAAAAGATCCAACAATTATAAATTATAAACTCTCTAACACATGTCCAAACCTAAAGAATATCAATTCTCTCAAGCTCACTCTATGGAGTTCTATTCTTAACTTTTCTCTATTTTAATGGTCTTCATTTTCTTACCGTCTCTATCACAATGTTCGACCTTTTCATTCTTTTGTCCACAGTGTAGTCGGTGATGATCTCCAGGCCGTCCCTTTGATTCCACAAAATCTTCAATCAAATTCTGTAATACAAAACCAAGAAATTAATGCAAGTTACATTAACAGTACCACAGTTGGTGCGAACATTGTGATCTAGATTTCAGGATGATTTATTACTTTGGGCAATCTGGGAAACCGCCCTATTAAAATAGTTTGGACTATTTTTATACATCTCCAAAGCATTCATTACTTAAAACATTACTAAATTAATCAAAATAGTGATTGTAAGTGAGAGCACTTAGACTCACACTTTCACACATGTCATTCCTTACTATAAAATCTCACTTAGAAAGGTTAATATACTTGATAAAGTCTTTGAGAATGTATACCTTCGATGCATCGCCCACAGAGAAGGTATGCTGTGATGATTTTCCCCCAGTTGAAAGTCCCAAAGTCACATCAGTCTATAACCAATGGTTTGACAAAACAATATTTTATTAGCATCTTAAAACCAACGTGTTTATTATTCGTAACAAAAGTTTCACTAAAGCCAAATGTATATTACATTACGTATGTAATCAAACCCAGACAAAAAAAAATCAAATTTGTTTCCTTGAATTGCGAGATGGTTTTCTCATCGAAACAAATGTCAATAACATTATAGGAAGGATCAAACTCATCGAAGTGTGCACACCTGACCTCAACTTTAAAAAGATATGATTTATCTATCAAGAGTTTGTTAAAGAGATCCGGTTGTATGTCTCCACCCGGCACATTCTGTGTGAACAATTCAATTAAGTATCAATAAGTACACCAAAAGTAAGAAGTAATATTATATTTCACAATGTTATTTTTGCTTAACAAACATAAACTGTTGTGCCGAGGAGCTAAAAAGAAACTGCCGTGTACCACCTGGAGCAATGTTATATTGAGCACTACAGCAAATATAACACTGTTTCCGTATATAGACTGCAACAATGTAGACATTGGTAAATATAAAATATTCATATTGACAGTGCTCAACAAACACATAGACAGTGCTGAATATAACATTGCTCTCGTTCATAAACTGCAGCAAATTTCGTTTGCAAATTTTTTTGAACATTTTTGCTCAACAAACATAGAGTGCAGAAGTCAAAAAAGATAAACTGATGCACACCTAAACGACAGAGGAATTAAACAGACAGTGTATATGAGATCAAAATGAACATTTAATTTCCATGAATGAACTTAGACGTAGATAAGCAAGCTCTGAAGTTGATCATTAAGTTTGTAACTAAATTGTGTCCGAGTTGCACTTAAATAAGCTCCAACCTATAGCCTCCTGATTTATTGATCTCAAAGGGGTTATAATATAATTGAATCCAGCCTATTAAAGGTGCTCAAAAAAACATAAATTGTAATGGCAGAGTATTTAAACAGGCAGTGCAAATGAGTTCAAATTGATTATTTTATTTTCACGAATGTTCTTAAACCTGTATGTTTTTGTGAAGTAAACAGGGACTTAAACCTGTTCTAGGTTAATTTCCCTGAAGGCCACATCAGGGACACCCACACAACCTTGGGAAGACCTAAATGCCTAGCTAAGCAGTTCAAACAAAGTCTACCCTATAACTTTAATAGTTGGTCTACAATGGTTCCTATCTTCAGTCATGTCCTTAGTGAGATGTATCATCTGAGTCTGCTTCTCCTTAGGTCTTCCACTACCCCTTAATAGAGGAAAAATTGCTGAGCACATTCCCCACTAGGAAACTGCATTAATTTTTAGGAATTAAATATTAATGCTGCACAATTGAGCAGTGGCATTGTCCTCACTTAAAGTGAAATTGCTTTAGATATCCTCAGAGAAAATGATGCTGAAGTGTGAACTGACATGCTCCCATGGATCTAAATGTCATATTAATACCAGAACACGAGGAACCAATTTTACCTTCCTTCTGTCCATATGTGTTCATACATCCTTCACAACGACATGCACTATAACATCCAACATTAGCCTTTAAAGATGGAGCAAACAAATGTGACTTATTACATGAGGAATTAAAAATGTCCAATAGGGTAATGGTTAAGAGACAGAGCAGTGAATCACCAACTTATACCTGATACATCATAGGGTTTAGCAAATGAGTTTAGAAATAAAGGCTGCACATCTAAGACAAATATAGGTTGTTTATTATTTCAAGAAACAATACCTGGTAGCAGTCACAATACTTTTTCATGCACACTGATCTGGAAAATAATATGCCTAAATTCTATGAGTAGAATTTACTGCAAGAATTTTTTTTGGATCTGGCAAACATAATAACGGAAAAAGAATATAAATTAGGTTTAGAATCTCGCTATTAAGCAACACACGATTCAAAATCGATTAATTGACCGAAAAAATTGGGGAATCGTAGAGAAGTGCTCGAAATAGGTATGGAAGATGAATATATTAGAATCGCACATGTAATTTGGGAATAACCTGGATCTTGAAGCACGCTAAGAATCCACGAAGAATCAATGTTAATAGCCTGACGGTGTAGGTTTCGGAATTAAGGCTAAGAATCTGGGAACCATTCCTTCTATTTCTTGAATTTGCCATATTTGGGCGAATGGGCAAAGAAGATATTTTGGCCAGGAAGAAAGACGCAAATCGCACAGATGAAGAGAAGCGCCTTGATAAGGAATTTCTGATTTTTTTCTCAGAAGCTTACGCGTGGACGACTGCTTACGTGTCTTAAATTAGGACACCTAAATTGCCACGTGTCAAAATCATAGGAATCAAACTCTCAAATTTTATATTAAAGGATAGAAAAAGTGATTTAAATTGCACAATTTGTAAATCCTATACATTTAAAATGGGCAGTTAAAATTGATCATTTTAGTTTTTGAAATATGTAATTTTTTCAACAAAACTCACAACAAAGTAACTCATTCATCTATGTTTAGATAAGATGTAAATATAGACCCATTATGCTCATCTCTATTAATAAAAGGGTGTAGTCATACGTCAGTGAATGAAAGTACAAACAAACACCAAACACAAACCTTGTAAATATAATAAAAACCGTATAAGAAATGACCATGTTAGGAAATCATCTCCAAGAAATCTTAGCAAAAGAAGTATTGTTAATGCTTGTTTACCTTGGCTTAAGAGTAGAGCATCTGAGCACTGTATATATTCTTGATCTGTCACACTCAGATCACCATATTTCCTTACAATAAATAGTGTTTCTTGGTTGAAAATTAAGGCAGAATTCATGTAGGGATGTGAAATAAAGCCTAGTGTTATTGCTGATTCCAAAACAGAAAAATGTCAATCTTACCTTTTATTATTTGGTGTTGGAAGAATGTGAACAACCTTATACGAATGGAAGCATGCATGGTTCAGAGTAGTTCCTTGGAGACCATATGCACGAAGACAATATGATATTACAAAAAAGAGACAATATTACTATTATACTAAATCTGACCTCCAATAAAAGAATTCATACCCTGGTATATAGCAAGCACCATGGTCTAAAACAATACACATTTTTACTCTTGAGATATTCTTAGCCATGTGAAATACTACTCCATCATAATTTCATTGTTTAATATAGTGTCGATATCATTCTAACTCTCATAAGAGAAATAAAAGACAGCTTCACACATACACCACTCTAAACAAAGGATGAAGACAAATGCAATTATTTTGACAACTTTTATGTAGCTTATGTTAAACAATGTGGTTCAATTTTTTAAAACACTGACTTGTTTAGATTTTAAAAAATAATTCAAGCCTCATACTCTCATAATTGCAATCAGCAAAAAAAGGGTTCTTCAAATCGTTTAAGCATCGTAGTTTAATTGAAATAAAAGTTACTTTCATAAGCTCATAACAATATACAAATTAAAGAGAATAAATTCATTCACCATGAAATGAACACCACCAAAAAAGACCGACCACAAAAAAAATTATAACTTACAAATTTGTCAATAAATATTTTCTTGATTGAATTGATACTCATATCACTTTAACCCTCACACTCACCAGTCGGGATAATTTTCAAAATTGGAGATGGATAATTTTGGTTGTGGAAAATAAAAAGTTAAGAAAATATGGCGCTAAGAATGAACGCAAATAAACCATGTCGATTCCATAAAAGCAAGGGTAAAATAAACCTTAATTAGAAGACAAATTAAACTCAAAGAAATCGAAAGTGTTGAGAAACATCCCTTCAAATAATAGAACACCCTACGGATTACAATAGAAAAGAAAACATACCAATCACATCTCTTCCTAATATTTCTATTATGCCAATTTATGTCTTTTCTTTTTATAAAAGTAACTAATCAATAAGTATCCTTCAAAAACACTCATGTCTATTTTTCAAATTTAGACAGAAAAACTCATCTTTGCATGATATTTTCCACATATAAAATACTTTTTTTATTAATGAGATAATTTTACGCAGAATATACATAGTTTATGAAGAATATGATTTCAAATCAAATTCAACAGAGAATATATGCAGGATTTTTGCATATGTGAACTTTTCAATAACAATTGATCTTCTCTATAACACTATACTCGCATAAAAGAATCAAAATTCCAAAAAAACAAATTACTGGATTGCACGTTCAGAACCAATTATTAGTGGAATCCCAAATTATAATATGAGCATCAAAATTGAAGGAAAAATTACCTGGAGCAGCATTCGTCCAACCTTGGCCATTGCCGTTCATCCTCCTTCATTCAATGCTACACTCGCCGACCAACTGTTGGTGCTGATTCAGATCCGTGAGTGCATGATCCGTAAAGATCCGTGTATTTTTGCTGCCTAAGATCCGTGAGTGCATGATGAATTCCTTACCTTCGGCGAAGAAATTAAGCGAGAGATCCGTAAAGATCCGGTGTATTTTTGGAGAAGATTCATGGATGAATGCCCTGGAGATATAGGCTGGATGCTGTCTGCGCTTCGAAAAAAGCCTTCGACCGAAGGTATTGTTTTAGGAAAAGTCTTCCGTAGTTGAAAAAATGACACGTGTATAGTGCTAATGTGTCATTTAATTAAAACTTCTAAAGTGCCACATGTCACAATTCTAAGTTATCAACTCTCAAATATTATATTAAAGGATTCATTTTCTTATAGGTAATTAAGGATCGTTTAGATTTCTTTTCTTTTTCTTAATTGAAGAAAATTTGCTGTCTAGATTGCGAGCTCCCAACAACATAGCCATAAAAAAGCCTGGATATATTGAAGCATGAAGGTGGGCCAGGTTCTTACACAACTTCAATTTTTTTAAGCTTCAAAGTTTTCCAAGGTGATAAATCTCACACTTAAGCTTAGGATTTCTTTATCCCCTGCAATTCCATGTTTTGCCGAACCCAAAATATTCTCAGTTTGGTTATCAATTTAATGTTGCATCCAAAATGAAATCTTAGGTTGTTTATTAAAATATCTATTGTTTGTTTGTCTCCATGGTAGGTATGGGTATACACTCTATGGAAAGTCTATTTGCAAGGTATGAGAGAACATAGATCACTCTCTTTATAAATGGTGTTGAGACAAATTTTTTAAAGTGTCTATTTTTCTTCAGTTTTTAATTCAGTTTTGATCTTTTTTTGGGATATTGACATGCTTGTGCTTACAAAGAGAAATAGTTTAACAAAAGTAAAATAAATTAGAAAATATTTTCATATCAAGGTTTACGTTCTTTCATATACGAAGAATATACTAAAATTTCAGTTTGTCTGATTTTTAACATTAGATTGAATTGATAAATTGTGTAAATGTCAATATGTACACAATTTCTAAAGATGTTTTTTCCTGCGATATATGTATACGCCTATAATAATTATTAATTACTTTGTTTTTGTATGTAGTGTTTTTTCTTCTGTTTTTTAATCTGATATCTTCCCGATGAATGATTATGAACATAAGTGGTTTTGGTGTAGATTGTTAGCGGCTTTTGTGGTGCCTATTTGGTGGGCTCAAGAGCATTATGGACCTGCCTATGATACCAAACTTTACGACAACACTAAACTTGATGTTGTTAAGGTAACACCAATAACTTATACTCCGTATTTATGTAGGGTACCATTGAGTTTAGATTTCAACTACATCGATTCTGGAATAGCAACATTATCTAAAATAATAAATTATTTCTGTAGACATTAAAATTGCGTATGAATTTTCAGTTTTATAACATGCAAAATGAGATAGACATGGTTTGGCTCTTGATGAGTCTTTTTTTAAATGGTGAGCTTCAAACTTAACACAACACATAGGTCTCTACCTCAAACTTTTGCCTGAGTGCATGACTTTATTTACAATGTTTTTGAAATGGTGAGCTTAACACTATCTTTGGAAGGAAAAGAAAACTGATTTTCTCTTACTTTCCTCACCAAATTAGAAGGAATTTGATTTTCCCCACTTAGTACTTTTTGTCTTCATTTTCTTTTATTTTCATTTTTCTTTCTTTTCCTCTTTAATCAAACAAGAAAAACTGATTTTTACTTCATTTTCATTTCTGCATTTTCCCCACTTGGTAAATTGTCTGCATTTTTTTTAATTGTGAAAACTGATTCCATGAAAAAATTCAGGTAATATAAGAGTTGGAAGCTAGGGAATGGAAAGATTAATGGTAGTGCATTTCTGTTAGTGCAAGGGTGTACTGCTTGGAGTAAATTCCAAGTTAATATTTTTATTGAAATGCTTTTTTATGTACTACTCTTGTGGTAGTTATATTAGCTGTTTAGTTGGGTTTATAGTAAAGGATTTGATGTATTTTATTTAAGGTGTTTTTTGGAATACCTTGAAGTTTTCTTTTTAATTTTCTAAGCCAAATAAATTTAGAAATGTCACACACACACACACATATATATATGTGTGTGTGTGTGTGTATGTGTGTGTGTGTGTGTGTGTGTATAAAATTAATGTTCAATCTTATACAAAAAATGAAAAAACAAACCTTACTTCAAACGAATCGTATAGACGTATACGTTTGAATACATTTTTAAGGGTTCAAATTATTATTTAAAAATACTAACACGAAAAGATCGTGTTTAATACCATTAATTATAATAAAAATATTATAAATTATCATTTTAAAAATTTAACCTAATCAAACTAAATTGTAGCAGTGTGAGTTACTATTTTTACACAAGTGGACTCTAATAATTTACAATCTATAAAAGGATATAAAGAAATAGAATAAGAACACATTTACTCATTGACTTCACACTGATTTATTGATATAGAAGGTTATAATACTTTATCTTTTATATATAAATTTTTTATTTCAATCTTTGAAAGAATGACATGTGTCAACATTTCAATACATATTTTCATACTTCGAATATATTGATTTTATGATTTTATTTTATTGCTATGCAATTTATGGTTTATATTTCGTATATTATTTATGATTTAAATTGAAGAATATAATATTTATAGTTATCAACTATGATATGATATTTTTAGTTAAATTATACTTAACAATTCATATAAAAAATGTTCCAAGATATACTATGTTACACTCACATTCTTTATGATTTTAACATTATTTAGTAAATTTAATTTTGGAAAAGATATAGTATGCTTTCATTAGAATATATTTTTCTAATTTTATACTTTCTCACAACATTTATAATAAAACTATCAATTAATAAATGAGATTCAAAAAGAGTTACTTTCATAATCTCTAAAAAATCATACTCCGTATTTTTTATGACATGCTTAAATGAATTTAGTTCTGATTTAGTTATTTAAATATTGATATAAAATAAAATATAAAACATGTATTTTAATCTCTACATTAAAATACTAAAAATGACTAGATTATTTTCAAAATGATCAAATATTTAAATCAAATAAATTAAAAAATGAGTAGTGTAACACCCTAATCCGTCCAAGTCTACAGCCCCTTTCAGACAAAAGTATGTATTTGGTAATTGCGATAATTTAAAACATTTCAAACATTTTTATTTTTAAATAATATTCCATACATAATTGTAGAGAAATACGGAGTGTTTATATAAAATGCGGAAGCGACTTTAAAATATGTCTCATAGCAACATAGTTATTTATTTCATTCAATAATCCACCACGACTTTCTCGCCCCTTCTGCTGCCAGGAATCAGCCAATCATTCATTTTGCCTACCTGCGTATAGCAAATAAAACACACTACACGCTCAGCGGTGAAGCTGAGTAAGCATATCTAAAGCGTCGAACATCCACATAAATTGAATCTCGATTCATAATCAACCATTTGATATCGTGCACACAATATATAATTCAAATATTCATGATATTCTCAATATTTTATTCCAAGTCATTTGATACTCAATATCTCAACAATGCTCTTAAATTATTCTTAATCTAAGGCCAAATCATTTTATAACAACTCTTAGCTATTCCTAGTCTAAGGCAACATTTCTAACCAGTCCCTTAAACTATAAATAGTTTAATGCAGAACACAAGAATCGATAATCCACCCTATGAGTCATGTGGATTACGTACCAACCGAACAGTGAACTGTCGGGTGGGTGATATCCGGTCTGGATCCCGTACGTACGTTTTAACCCCGAAATATGAATTGGTCAAGGAGGTATATCTTAGAGTTCTTCTAGATATCCTTAACAATATACATCATTTTCGTAATCATCATTATATCCATTTTTAATCATGATTTAATCAATAATCATACTAATCAGTAGGTTAATCATTCATAATTGGCCACAATAATAGTTCATCATAATGATCATTCAACATAACATTTAATAACAATTAGCGGCCTAGTCTCGAGTGTTAACACCCAAACTTACTGTCATGCATCACATAAGATTTTAATTTATTAAAAGCATCATTTTTATTGTGAAAAATCATTTTTATAATGATCATAATCAATTGGTATCAAAAATAGGATTTTAGAACTCAAAAATAGCATTTTTCGTAGTTGACTGTCTTCGGAACGGTCGACCGTTTCAAGTGACGGTCGACCGTCATTGCCTCCGTTGTATTGAAGCCACTGGTCTGGTAACGGTCGACTGTGGTGACGGTACGGTCGACCGTTGCTGCCTTACAGCAACAATACTTCGTCTTCAACCTCGGTTCCAATTTTCGAAATATCATTTTAAGTCAACAAACTTCAATTAAACTACATAGAAATGTTCGCCAATGTACATAGATCATTTTGATACCATTAATTCGAAGTTTTAACAACAATTTCAAGGTTTATGATTCTTGGTTCTTCAAACATGTCAAACACAAAACTCAACCAAATGACCATTTATGAACGTAGAAACGACCTATATGAACATTCTAAGCATTAGATATATCTACGGGCTTACCTTAATGTTAAATGATGATTGCGGAGAAAAGACGGCGAAACTTTTGGCAATAAAAGCTCTCAACTCCGGCGACCTTTCACCAAATTGATAGCACCAGAGTGTTCTCCTTTCTCAGAGCAGTAGAATAGAGGAAAAAATAGGATGTTTTGGTGAAGAATAGAGGGAGTTGGGTGTGGTTATGTAGGAAGGAAGAAGAGGAAGATGCCAAGGTTCACTCCTGTTTGTGCGGCCGAGTGGAGTGAACGGCGATTCCGTAGGATTTCAAACGTAAGTCCCTGATTGGGACTAATTTCAGTCCCAGTCGGGGTACACTTTTTGGTCCAACTTTCTCTAAATTGAAATCTGATTGAACCGTTGGGGTCAGACAATCAAACTCTACACAACAATATATTTTTCATTAATTATTGACAAACTTTATAATTCACTTATTTTTTTTGGGTCATTCTCAGTAATTAATTAATTATCAATTAATTAATTCTGATAGGCCTATTTTCAGGGCGTTACATTTCTCTCCCCCTTAAAATAATTTCGTCCTCGAAATTACCTGAGTCATTGATTGAAGAGATTCGGATACTGTGTTCTCATTGATTCTTCAGTTTCCCATGTTGCTTCTTTAGTCGAATGATTCCTCCATAGTACTTTGACTAGAGGTACGGATTTGTGTCTCAATTGTTAGACTTCTCGTGCTAGAATTTGTACAGGTTCCTCATCATAAGTCAATTGTTCGTCAAGAGTTACGATTCCTTCAGTCAAGATAAGTGGACAAAGACAGTGGGACGTGTTAGCCTTGGTTTGCTAAGCCTCATGTTTTGATGTTAACAAACAATATAAGAGCTTGACGTTTGTTTAAGTGTTTCAGGTACAACAAGAATCCATTAAGATTCGGTACTCAAGAATGAAGTCGAAACACCAAACTAGCGTAGAATATAGGTTGAAACCAATGTAAGGATATGATTTTATATACCTATATTCACAAGCTCAAAAGCACTCACAAGATATGTTTAAAACCATCCCATAAACATTTTCAAATATCTAAAAGGTTTTAAACTCAAACACGAATGATTAAGGGAATTTTGGAAAACGCAGGACAGTGGTACGGTACCCCAAACGGTACCCCATACCGTCGACACGGTACCCTATACCGCCGGCACGGTACCTCTGTACCGTTAGAGGACAGGTACCGCCAAAGCCGGATTGGTTTGCTGTATTACACGGTACCGAGGTACCGCCACTCACAGTACCCCCTACCGTACGCACGGTACCTTGCTACCGTGAGGACGGTACCGGTCTACCGTGACCGTTGGGTTACTGTTCCTGATTTGTGATTTTGAATTAAATCAACCCTAATCACCTCCCAACGGCTAATTAACATATTCCACTATAAATACAAGCCTAATCCTTCATATTTCTTCAAGAAACAAAGCTCTAAACATCCTCCCTTTATATTCTAAGTGTGTTCATTCTTTTATTAATTATTTTCAATATTTTGGCTATTTCAAGAGCCTTAAATTCTTGATTTTTATACACACACTTTGAGCTTGTGTTTCTAGTTATATACTCTCATATTCATAAGTTTATATTGTATTTTTGAGAGAGTATAATTTCCTTCTACACCGGCTAAGTTTTGTTCTTCATTTTTATATTCAAGCCGTTGTGTAGAACTCTTGTTTGTGTTTTTCAAACACATCTTTATACGGTCGAGAATAGCCGTTAAATTCTCATATTGTATCGGTCGAGGATAGCCGTATAAATCCTTGGGTAAAGGTTCAAAGATAGCCTTTGAAATCCTTGGGGGAACGGTAGAAGATAGTCGTTAAATCTTCATTGTAAACGGTTCGAGATAGCCGTTGTGAAATCTCGGAGTGAATCCTATTGGCAAGGGTTGTTTGCCAAAACTAGTGCGGTGCTTTGACGGAGTTCAAGAGGCCGGGACTTAGTGGATTCGAAAATCCTTGAGGAGGAGCCTCGAGGTACTGGAGTAGGGGTTTCCCGAACCAGTATAAAATCGGTGTGCATTTTATTTACGCTTTTATTTCTGCGTTTTATATATTGCTTCCGCATTTGTCAACACCGTTTTTATCAAACTCCGAAAAGATTTAAACGCCTTATTCACCCCCCTCTAAGGCGTGAGCACAACGACTAAACCGACTAACAAGACGGAGGGAGTATCAAATATTTTTGTAAATTTCTATTCAAAATCATAGGATCACTAATGTTTTTTATATTACTGTTTTTAATTAATGCTAATGAATACAATCATTATATTGAATTTTTACTTATTTTTTATTTTTATTTTTTGAATCATATAATTGTTAATCTAAGATTTTATTTTTAGACATATGCGGGGAGAGAAGAATCATTCTGATATTTTTTAATCGGTGTGAGAAAAGAAAATCATAATAATGCAGGAGAGATGAACAATATATATTCCGTTAATTAAAATTGATGAAGCGATGCAAAATAGAAGAATCATATTTTTTGAATTATAACTAATGCAAGGAGAATAATCACAAAATCACTATTTTTTATCAATCAATGAAAGGAAAAATAATATTTTTTTGAAACAATTTTACTCTATAATCCAAACTAATGTGGGAAGAATCATATTTTTTACCCACCAATGGCGGTTGCATAATGTTTATCTCAAGATTAATGTGAATACTTCAACAGAGTTGGCCGATAGAGTCTCGAGGTTAAGGGGCTCTAATTGCAGCACAAAAGTTGCATTGCAGAGAATATTTTTGAACTAGAGAAGTAGAAGTAATTGAAGTAAATGAGTCTTTAAGCTGGATCAATAATAAAGATTGGAGGCATATAATTGTGGAAACACATTGAAACGAAGTGGTTGATTCGGTGCTCTTAATAATTTCACCAACATTATCATTTAGTGAGTTAAAATAAAAGTCGAGTAGAAAATATTAGTTTTAGATGTTTTTGGTAGTCTTTATAACATTACACAAAAATGTTATATACCTTATGGTGTGTTTGGTTGGGAAAAATATTTTCCAAGAAAACATAGATTCTATTTTTCTGTGTTTCGTCACATTAGTGGAAGAAAAATATTTTCCACGGAAAATATTATCCTTCAATGGGGGAAAAACAATTTACATTAAAATAGAAAGAAACTTTTCATTCTCTTTCCGCTCAATTTAAAATTTAAAATTTCAAATTTAAAATTTCAAATTTAAAATTTAAACTTTAAAATTTAAGATTTAAAATTTAAGATTTAAAATTTAAAACGTAAATATTAAAATTTAAAACTTAAAATAAAAAATTTAAAGTTTGAAATTTAATATGTAAAAATTTAATATTTAAAAATTTAGATTTTAAATCTAAAATTTTATAATTATAATATAATTTTAAAATTAAAAAAAATTAAAATTCAAAATTTGAAGTCTATAATTAAAATTTAAGATTTGAAATTTAAAATTTATAATTTAAAGCAAAAAATATATTCCCTTGTACAACCCTAATTTTTCAAAATGTTTTAATTTAAATAAGAGCTTGACATGTAAGTTTTCAAATAAATATTATACTCTCTCTGTTCTACAAAATCTTCTCCTTTCTTTTTTCATCCGTCCCCAAAAATCTTTCTCAATTTTATTAGAAAATCACTTTACTCTTACTAATTTTGAACATGTCTATCACATCAAATTTTTTAGTATTAATCTACTCATCACATCCAAGGGCATTTTTGGAAGGTCAACACCAAAATACTCTTCCCTTAAATCTTTTAAAAGTCAAAAACATAAAGGCTTTGTGGGACGAGTGAGTTTATTTTATCATTATTTTAACTTTTAAGGTTGGTATTTTATTTTGTTCGATTTTTTAAGAATGTTGTAGCAAAGAAAACTTAAAAGTTCAAAAGAAAAAGTTCGTTCCACCCTGTTGCGTAGTTGACAGAAGTAAAGATTGCCAAGGGGGTAAGACCCGAGTTTGATTACAGACAACAGCGATGGAAGACAATTATGCTAAGCATGATGCTTCTATAAGTACCGAATTCAAAGTTTAATTTATCTACTCTTAATAACTGTTTGACCGGGTCCTAGAGGCTCTCGTGGATGAGGCTTATCCTTTTTCTAAAATATAAATGATTATGAATAGAACTTCTCCCAAGTTTGAACTTCGAAGGAAGCAGATGCATTGACTCATTGTGCGTCATTAGGTTGAGAAAAATACGAGCAATTATTCTATATTCTTAAATCTTAATATCTGAATTTGGTTCTTATCCTTAAAAAAACTTTGCATGTCAAAAAATTAAAAAATAAATTTACCTAAAATAATCCCACCTTTTATTTATTTTTCAAAAATATGTATTTTCAAAAAATCATGTTAAGTGGCCGTTACTTTTTTAACGGCGGCCCAAAACTCGTACACATGCAGAAAGGTGAGATTATTTTCGTTGACAGTGAAAAGTGAGATTATTTTTAAAAAAAAGTGATGAAAATATGGGATTATTTAAAATAATTTTCCAAAATAATATAGTGATATCAATAATATATTTAATCATACTACATCGAAAGATCTATAAATTATGCTATTATCTTGAATTATTATTGGAAATTTGTTTTAAGATATATTTTTAGAATTAGAGTACCAAATTTTAATTAATTTTACGGAAATGTTTTTTAATGTATGCTTTTTTCTAAATAAATACTCTCTTCATCCACAAATTTTCTTCGTTACGACATTTGAATAAAATTAGTTTTAATTTACTTGATATGATGATTCGTGTAAAGTTAAATAATAAAATATACATATTTAAAAACGAAATCAAAAGTTTTACAAAATTAGAGGTGATATAAATATATTATTTTTCACACACAATAAGTATCAAATCTCTATTATAGATCTTTGTTTTATAAGGTTTAAGGAGGGGGACGAGATGAGAGTAATTTTTTGCTTTGTTCGTAGAATTAGAGGACTCAAGCAATTACAAAGAAAATGGACATTCATCTATAGAAAATATAATCATTTTTTCTAAAAATGTTTTTCTACTATTTATGTAACCAAAGAAAATTAGATTTATATTCTTTAAAAACTATTTTTCTCACAACAAAAAACTCTAAAAATCAGAATTCAAAAGAATACTGTCTTTAACAAAAAATTATAGAATATTACAAAATTTCGTTCCACCCGTGCACGGCACGGGTTAAAACACAGTCTATTATATACTGGAGTATATAAAAGTAGAATCAAAATTGAGCAATTTCCAATCCAATTTTCGCTCATATCCTACGGTCCAATTTCATTTGCAATCGGCAAATCTAGCCGTCAATACCTAAGGCCAGTGTTCGAACTCCATGGCGAAAGACATTTGGTTATGCGCCTTACCCTATTNTGATATTATGATGTACAATTGTTTTGTTAGACATGTGAAAATAGCAAGGACGCTATATCATTGTATTCAGTGGGAGTAGTTGCTTTCTTATATTTGATTTTGATTAAATTGATTATTAAATGATACTGTTCAATTGATAGGAACTAGAGAGGAACAAAGTTGATGCTTCTAAGTTTGCTCCTTTTTGGAATGAGATTATAAGGAATTTGAGGGAAGAAGACTACATTAATGCTTTGTGAGTTTTACTTGTGGCCATGATATTTTCTGTTATCAGATCTTATTCATTGACTGCTCACTAAAGCTCACTAGACACACATTCATCTTCTTTAATATACAGGGAAATGGAGTTGCTTTTAGTGCCTAAAAATTCAGGGATAATAGACAATATTCCCTTGGTTCAATGGCCTCTGTTCCTTCTAGCAAGCAAGGTTGCTATCAGAATTTATAATACTTGTTTTGTTTCTATGCTAGTTAAGTATGCACATATTGTTATTTCTCTTCCTGGTATGTATGTCTTTTGCCTCTTGCACAGATATTTCTTGCTAAAGGATACTGCTATTGAGGGTAAAGAGCCCAGACTTTCGCAAGAGGAGCTATGGGACAGGATTTTAAGGGACGATTACATGAAATATGCTGTTCAAGAGTGTTATTATACCCTCAAGTTAGTCCTCACATCTGTGTTGGATACTGAGGGTAAGAAGTGGTAAGTTGATGGCTTAAGGAAAATATTTCTGGATGAGGCATACAGAGTCATACAGAGTCACATAAGGCACAAGACTTAAACGAGGCTTAAGCTTCTTAAACTCCATAATTTATTCTCTGTCAAATTTCAAATGGGACGGTTGGAGTATATATTTATATCAATGTAGATTCGATGGTCATTAACTATTTGATGCTTTTATCTTGAATATATATCGATTTAAAGTGTGTTGGATATATTTTTATTGAATGTGTATGATTGGGTGTTGCGGATCTACTTTTAACTATTCTTGGTCTCCATTTACCTTGGTACTAGAAACTTTCACATTTGGAAAAATATAATATAGTCATTGGGGACAACCTTGAGGACTTTTCTTTGGCTGGGGATATGATAGGATTAAAGTTTGCTTTTAAATACTTAGGTTTGTTATTTGTGGAGGAGAGACATATTCTATGCTTGCTATTTAATTGTTTATAGTTTTTGGAAAATGACATGAGGATACTCTCACTCAAACCAGCTAAATATCTTTTGTATATCATTATTGCATTATCATGACAATATATGTATATGTATGTGTGCATGCTTGTGTATATTAATAAATATACATAAAACTATGAGAGCTAGTGATTTGGAAACTAAGAGAGCTTGTTGCATACAAAGACATTTTGTTCCGAGGGGGAGGGATGGAAGATAGCTCAAAGCTGGCTAACCAACTTCATATATGCAGGAAGCTAGAAACAATGATAATGGGCGGGCACCTCATTCAGCTTGGAGAAATTATGATGATTTCAATGAGTACTTTTGGTAAGGTCTTTTTTGAGGTTGTATAAGTCTTGAATTCTCCTTGTCATAGATACAATAAATAATTCGTAGTCATCTTATCTTTAGTTGTATTTCTTCTTTTATAGGACACTTAATTGCTTTGAACTTAGTTGGCCATGGAGAATAACTTCACCCTTCTTTCTAAAGCCGACACCAAGATCAAAGGTCTGATGCATTCCTGTTTGCATTCATAATGTGTTTAAGTGAATTTTCTTTATAAGGTTATATTAAATCATGATAGTTGAGTGCAGGTTTAGTGATATACAAAATCATTCATAAAAGAAAGTAGAAATAGAACTTTGTACAAGATTTTCATTTGGCTCAAGTTGCCAACCCCATGGATTCAGAATTAAGGCTTGGTTAGTTGGTTGGATGTTATCATACTTAATTTTATAGAATATTTTAATTTTCGGACCTTTCA